GAATAAAAGTTGTTATATATAAGGTCTCCATGCCTAACTAATTATTACTCACAGCCTCTGTGTGAAGCATAAGCACCATCACAAACCAAGTTGTAAACATGGTGAAATACCATGTGATACAAAGCTTACGCATGGACAGTTTGACAGATGACGTATACTTCGACTTTCTTTTCTACAGTTGAAGAATTCCAGTAGAGAAAAAATATATTGGCCTATTACAAGCTCAATAAACCCCATTTTTTGTATAGCACACATTAATTTAACAAGTTTATATTCTAAAATTATAAAACTGTAAAACGGTATCATTCTTTCTGTGAACATCATCCTCACCAACTATGTGCGTTTTGTGTCGACATTCGTGAAGCTACTGTACTCACGTGACCCCGAGGACAGAAAAAAAATAATCTTTTTTTTTTTATGAGCAAAGCTGGTTCTAAAAAGCGTTAAATAATTATTATTGCCAAATAGATATATCTCGATGCTACTAATTCACAATCTGTGTCCCCGGTCTGTGACCAAACATTGACAGCAACCTTCAGGCCTATACAGTTTACCCATACTATATAAAATCGCGAGTCTGATTTTGCACAGAGTAAAGTCGAGTTGCGCTAATTATAGGCCTTGGTTATAATAATTATCGTCGCCATAATCATGAAGCAGAATGCTACGCTTAGAAAATCGAAAAAGTATGAGGAAAATATTTGAAATTAGGTTCATGTTTGGCGCGAATTCCATGTGTTTATTCTAGGTTGTGATTTACCGTTCCACCATCATGTAATGCGATCGCCTCAAACTTCCTGTCTTGCAATTCATCGACCTGGCTCAAAGGAAAAGTGTGAACATTCGTAAGGCGGCCCTGGGCTGACTTAAAACAATCACTGTGAACGAAAATTTTGTTGAGTTGGTCGTAATTTAAGGCGGCCCTAGGCCGGCCTAATAAGTGTGATTGGGCTCTTGGTCAGCATCCACCTTAGGCCCACCTTGGTTGAGATAAATTGTTGGGGCCAATGTCAAAAAAAAAATTAGTAATGTGTATTTCTAGATACATAGAAATGGCCTCTCATACAGTATTTTAAAAATGTTTTTCATGGTCTTATATCACACTGTCATTTAGGCCCAATAAAAAAAATTATTAGTTTATCACCCCCGCTCGCATTTCTTCTATGGTACTGGGAAAAAAAAATCTTTAAAAAAAAAAAAAAAAAATTTGAAAATTTTTTTATTTTTATTTTATTTTATTTTTTTTAAATTTATTTTATCAAATAGTTATTAGATATTGTTTGCATTATCTAAATCATGTTTTACTTTGAATATCAATGCACCAGCAAACAACCCAAGGGTGATATTTGGTTTTAGCAAAATAAAAAATTTAAAAAAAAAGCTTCCCTCCCTCATCACTTTTCCAGCCCAGATAGGGTGATAAACTAATAATATTTTTATAGGGCCTTAACTGAAATAACATACAGTAAAACATGGTTGATTGCCAAAAATCACTTTTTGTGTTACTGACCACCATCCATTTCACTGACTCCCTTTGCTTAACCTTGACTATTTAATGGCCCTCTGAAGGCATCTGCCACCCCCCTGGTGGTCCGTAAACCCCGGTTTTGAGAACCATGGCTCTAGACCAAGTGAGGAATGAATGAATAAACTTATAACTTGCCAGCTATTTTCAGGTTAAATTAAGTCTGCCTGGGAGTTGTTCCTCTGCATATTAAAATTAAGCAGAGAAAACAAATTATGGTTTTTTAATAGAAAATATAATGCCAGATATATTAAAAAAACACCAGTTTTATTAATAATAATAATTAGAATAATTGGTTAATTCCATTGCCTTCAGAATTTTCATCATAAATTTCGCTTTAGTTCTTCATCGAAAAATGATAAATATTGGAGGTAGGTACAGTAGAGTATTTGCGAACAATATAGGATTAATTTCATTGATCAGGCAATGAAACGAGAGAAGGTTTTGGGGTGAAAGACCAGAGTGCTTGAAATTATTTTTGTACTCGGCAAGTGCAACATGTTTGAGTTAATGAAGTCAAGCAGAATGTAATGAAATCAATAAAACAATGCCATTATCAGCTGGCTAGTAATTGCCTGTTCGTTGTCATGATTCATATTGTTGTGTAGTGTTTTTTTTTTTATTAAATAAATATGGTTTTCTGTATTATTGAGTTCGTCATAAGGTGCCAATCTCATGAATTTGCATAATTAATAATAATAATGATAATATGACTTAAATAGTGCCAATTTTCATAATGATCAATCCTGTGAGTTAACAATAATCATAAACCTATAACATTAAAACACTAGGCCTACATGCAAACTAGATAACCATAAAAGAGTTTAAAAAAATAGATCTAAAAATCTTACAAAACTAGAAATTATCCTTTTATTATCACTAAATTTATTTTATTTATTTATTTATTTATTCAAACACCAAGAACCACCATAAAAATACAACATGATATAAAAAATGTATGCCCTAAAGATTACAAAAATACATAAAATAGCTTAAAATTCATTTTTACATATTACATTTTAGGGATTACAGTACATTAAAGGTAGAAATATTACAATTAAAAATATTGATATATTCTAACAGGTTCAGCATTGAAATTATGCAATCATAATCGCATTAATCACATGGTTGGAAACTCAGGATATTGTTTTAAAGGTGTAAAATAGTGAATACAGGCTATCAAAATAATGAGCATTAGGAAAGCCAATTAAAGATAATACTTTATACAGAACATTGTTCAACAACCAGCAAAAGTATACACTTCTCATAACACTACAAATTCATGCTTTTTAATTATAGACTAAAATTTGAAATTATTGTGACCATTCTGGTGAATTTATTTTATTTATTTATTTTTTTTTTTTTTTTTGGCTCTGATCTAAATAATGTATTGTGCAGGCATACTGTATTCTAGCCTCCTACATGTCACCAACAGTGAAGCATCATGGGAGATGTAGCAAGGTGTTCATATTGTTTCTCTTCAAAGGCTTTGGCAACACTGTAGATTACTTTTTTTTTCTAGTAATCCAAATTTTAGGGACACTGTAAGAATTTTGGGTCCTTAAATTTTTTATCTGATGTTGATTTTTCACTGACTTTAAACATAAATGTTTTTTGAAGTCATCATGATTCATTGTTTGTTGATGAAGCCTTGTATCCTTGTAGTAACAAGAGATCCTAAAATTTCAGCTGCTATTGTCAGAAATTTCAATATGTTTTCCAGCCACGGTGGAATGCTAGAAATCTTTGCATATAGCGTGACTATTTGTGTACTTGTGAAATCTATTCAGAATCATGGTAGAGTTCTCAAACATGGCTGCCTAGATACAACATGTGCATGATTATAATCTTATTTGTTCAACAACAAAACAGGGAAGTGCCAAGAAATATGTCTTGAAATTTTAAAAGCGCTCTCGTTATTGTAGACTTTGGAAATGTACATTGGGTTTACCATGCACTCTGCAGGTATCGGTGTTGTATTTTATATTGTAATTTGCAATACGCTTCTTTTATATTTCCCTCTCCAATGTCAATAGCTGATGTAGACTCAATAGATTTACTAGATTTACAGTAGTGTGGGAAATAATTGGTTTAATTTTAACCTTTTTGAAGCATGTCATCCTTTTCTATGCTGCAGAAATAATAAGGTAAATTTAGCCGATGTTATGTTACAACATACAATTTAGCATAATTAGCATGGATATAAATAGAATGAGTGATTTATTGATTGACTGACTGATTAAGTGAGTGATTGAGTGATTGTTCTGTACTTGTTTGTACCTCCCAACCATGAAAATATACCTTTACAAAAGTGCCTCTATCACCGAACACAGCCCAACTCGCTAGTCATGCAGTCCTCCTGTAAGCTGTCTCCCAGTTACAATTACTAATTTGGATTGACTACTGTACTATGGTATCATTGTAGTTGTATTGTGATAGGTCCATTTGTTTCATTATTTTACCCAGCTCCTGGGGGAGGGCCGGTAATGTATTTTGGTGAGCATTTTCAGTTTGAACCATGGCTAAATGTTTGACCTGAAATTCACTTGTTCCCTGATTTGTTAAATAAATGCATGTCTTTACGTTTATAGTTTCTGCTGGTAATTGTATTTACTAAAGAAATAATTATCAAACAAGAGTCCAATTGACATAACGAAAGATCCTCAAAAATTGTATTCAACAAGTAAACTTTAAAAAATGAAATTATAGTAAACTACATCAGTGTTTATCAACACAGGATTTTGCTGTAGGTAAAGGGTCATCCATAATTCTAAACATTTTTAAAAGAGTACAAAACATACACTTCCCTGTGATCCCCTCCCTTCAACACAATTTGTCGGGGAGAAAAAAAATTATATGTATTTTCCACATATTAGTAGACTCTAAGATCGATTAAATAAGCCTTTGAAACCCCTAAATTGTCAAAATTTAGGGTAGTGGCTTTTCCTCCTGGACAACTTTAAAAACATTTTAAGTGACGCTCCACCACGTCCACTTTGCTCTCCTCGGGGAAATCTTTCCCCCTCGTCGGTGCATCGGCCCTCCCATCGAGGACCTTGGACTGATTTTTTTCTCCTTTTGAGATCAACATTTTATCTTTTTCATAAAAAGAATACTGTACATGTGCCTACACTTTCAACCCCTTCCCCCCCCTAAAGCATATATTTTGTACTCTTTTGAAAATGTTGATAATTATGGATGGATGATTACATTTAAACATGGTACTATATGATATAACAGACACAAATAGAATCAACACAGCAGCTTAGCTCAGTCATAGTTAAACTATGCCTCTGTGTCTGTACTGAACCGTGGAGACCTACTGTAACGTCTCTGTGTGTTTCATCTATATGGCTGAAATGCAAGTTTAACGTTAGCACACCTTATTTCGGATTAGACTTATAAACAGACATTGGTCCTGTCTCTTTTAATGTCTGCTAACTTAATATTTTTTATATTTTTCTTGTCATTCTAGAGTGCCTTCAGAACTTCCAAATAATGATCGATCCACAGAACTATATAAACGAGTGAAAGAGATACATGAGAAGGAGAGTGTCATGTTTATGCAGCAACAGCCACAAAGCGAGTCACCAGTAAGAAGTCAATTGTTTGGTGTCAAACGAATTAAAAAGAAAGAAGGGTTAGTGTAAATATTACTCTTATATTATTAAATTATTCCCATTCAATTTTTTATTGTAAATTGTTGATTATCTCTAATGTGTTGGCTATATATAGTATATGAATGCATAATGGGTAGACAGGTTTAGATGATTTATGCATCAAGTGTGGAACCATGGCTAAAATCTTAGTATTTCATGTTGGAAGTTTTTTTTGAAAAGCCAATTTTAGTAGACTGTGTGTTGGAAATTTTATAGCTCATTCTATCTTCTGAAAATATCAGAATTCTTTCACGGGCAAAAATTCCCAGTTTGTAAACAGAGAAAGAGCAGTCATGGCTTAGAGATGGCTTAGGGTTGTCTTATTGGATGATCTATCTGAAACACCTGTTTTCTTTGGTTGAATTAAGAAAGTTTATTTTGAGATGATAATTAGTTAATTAAAAATTACTATTAAAAAAGCAGAGTACAAATTAACTGTTAAACTGTCTTTTATTGTTATTTTCACATTTTACTCTTAGGTTCCTAACACTTTTATTGATTGATTTTTATTTATGCAGTAACCCAGCTCCAGCACCAAGGCCCAAGTCATGGCACAATCCTGGAGGAGTGAACTCTTTTAATCTTCATATCACAGACACTCATAAACATCAGGATTCCATTGTACCTCAGCACAAACCTGAATCCAGATCAGTCATTAGTGTAGATGAGGACAAGAGTACCATGTATCATAGGAGAGTAAGTGACTCCTTCACCCAGAACCAGGAGAAAAACCTGTCACTAAAAAAAAATGCCAAATCTTTAAGCAGTTTGAATTCAAATATCTTTGATTCGGAACACAGACATTCAAAGCCTCACTACGGAATGGTAAAGAGGGTTGCATCACAAATTGATAGTATGAATCTAACTGGGAGGCCTGATTATTCAGGCAGTGGTCAGGATTATGTACAAATGGACAACTTCACCACCGGACCTATTAAACCATCAACTGCTTATAATCCTAAATTTCGTTCAGCGAGTCTTGAAATTGAACCGGCCGATGTGTACCCTAAAAAAGTTGTATCAAAACAGATTAACCGAGATAAAGCAATAGCATTCATGGGAACCATTCCAAATAAAAGTGACATACAGAATGGATCTTCCCACCAACTACATGGACAGGAGTACTATATACAAAAAAGTCAGGTATATGGAACATCTCATTCACAGAATAATAACTGGAGTTCTGGAAAAGTTCAAATGCCTGTTAGGCAATTTGCTATTGAGGTTGATCCAATTGACTTTCAAAAGCAGAAACTTCCCAGAGACAGTGATATGACATATAAACGAGAAAGTAATCAAGATCCTGTGTACATTCCACATAATGTAGTGGAACATGTGAAGATGAATCCACCTCCGCCACCTATTCGAGATGTATCTAGCCTTGCTAAGCCTAGTCTCATCAGTGACCATGCAAAATCTTCCTCGTGGCCAGTTCATAGTGGTCCGAATACACAAGCGGACAACAATGCAACAACAAGAAACAACACCATCACAAGTGATTCATTACCACCTGTTAAACTTACCCGTGAACAAGAGATGATTACACCTAGACAGAATACTTTTTCAAATGAAAAGCAAAGAAATGAACAGTATAATGCAAGACCAGTTATTGTTTCACCAAAGACTAAAACAACAATAAAGAAAAAAGAAACCTATTCATCAAACTCGGGTCTTTTCACAGCAACTCTTTACCAGGTCCAGACTGATGAGCCTGGAAATTCTGATGACTTCTATGCATATGAAAAAAGTGAGCAAAATGAATATAGCAAGCCTTATGACTATAACGCTTACAATGTACCCTCTCCTCCAACTAGAGACATTGATGTAGAATCTGTATCGCCTCAACCAAATACCTTATCAAGCACCTTGAGCTCAGAAAACCTTGTTGATCATTATCGAAATCATCTTGAACAAGCTCTTCAAAGAGAAGATAACTCCCCAGACAGATCCTATTCTCAAGAAGAGCCAAAGTTGTTTTTAAGTAACAAAATGGAGGAGAACACATATCCAATTATGAAAAGAAATTCACTTCAACATTCCAGACAATCCTTTGATAACTGCAGACCAGAACAGATCAGTTTACATAAATACTCAACGGAAATAAGTGCAAACGAACCAGAGAGAAACAAACGATGTAGTGGATCCCTTGACGAAGCAGTAGCTGGAAGGACCTGGAAGAGTCCAGATGATCACAAAAAAGAAGAAGAATGGAAACACCTTGTAGAAACTGCTGATGCTCAGTATCAAAAAACAAATGTGAATTCCAAAACAATAAAAGAAGTTTCAAATCCACCTGTACCAGAGGTATCTCGGGTGCGTTCTCCTATTAGTTCGCCAATTTTTGAAAACAATTTAGTTGAGCAGCCATCACGGGGACGAAGTAACTCGGATGTGTTTTTAGATGATCATCCAAACACTAACTTTGGTAATGTAACAGAAGATTTCACAAAAAGATTTGCATATAGACAACAACATGAGACCAGTAACCTTAATGCTACTGCTCCAGCTGGTGAATCTAACTTCTCATCTAGTGACTTAAGGAAGATGTCATATTCATCCTCTAGTTCTATTCTGTCCCAGCTCCAAAGAGATCAGATGGTAGCTCCTTCCACTGATAAACAAGCAGACTATTATTCATCTACCAAAGATTACCATCGAGAAGATACTTCACAATATGATCACTCCAGACAAATTCCCTTAAATTCTTCTAAAAGCAAATCATCAAGGCAAGAAAGACATCACCATGACAAGTTTCATGATCAAACAAATGAGGATTATAGCCAGCAGTTGAAAGCAATGCAACAGAAGGTGTTGCAAAAAACATCATATCCACAATATCCTATGCAACCACCATCTCCAAGACATTCCGACTCCTCTAGTAGTAGTAACTGCAGCAGTAGGCGGAGTTCTCATTCCCAGCAATTTAGTGGGGATTCAGATGGTGGCCAGAACAAGTTCAGAGCATCAGAGGCAAATCTCTACAAACGTAATCCAACAGATGAAAAGGGGGACAGAACTCATAGATTTTCTGACCCAAGGAAGTATCGCAAGAAACCATTCGATGACATAAAGGTAGAACACCAGCATTCAAAGTCTGACTCAGAACGCCACAATAAGCCATATAATAGTATGCAAGGACATAAGATTTCAGACCCAAGTGGTGCTATTCCCAAATCGCAAAGGCTGTCTGACCCTCAAGCTAGCAAGCTTCAAGCCCAGGATGCACTGTTAAACTTCTACAAAACCAAAAGCATACGTACTGATAGTATGAGTAGTTTGATTTCTCCACGATCAACATCAATATCTGGTAGCTCTCACCAAGGAAGCCTCTCAGACCAAGTAACATCTCCTGTTGGAATAACACACTCCAGGTCATCAAGCATGAGCTCAACCAGACAATCTTATAATCAGTCAGGTCAGTTTTCATCATCAAGCTCAACATCATCTTTGTCACCAATTCCAAAGCCTCCATCTCCAAACACAGCAGGAAAAGGGAGTGGTGTAACAATCCCAACTTACATACAGCGAGCATTTTCTTATGATGTGACCAAGGGACGGGTATCAATGGGCAGTTACATTCAAAATAATGAGGATCGTGCGTCTATTCGACGAACAAACTCTTTGCTGCTACAGCCCCCTGTAAAAGTAAAACCATTGGATCAAATTACAAATATACAGCATGGAATTGACAGTACAGAAAATCTTAGAAACAGACCTCACCAAGCAGACAGTAAGAGTGGTTTCCCATTCCGGGTGGAGGAACCTTCAGACTGGAGTGGGGTCCACTATCAACCTCAAGGAAATAAACAAGGAATATTAGAGGTAAACATTTTTTTTCAATTAATTGAATTATATTATTGAAAATAATAAAGTATTTATCATAATAAATTTCCATATTGTGAAAGCATCAAGAAGTATTGCTGGACCTGTAGGTTAGAGGTGAATGTTCCTCATATCTACTGTATGTTTTTAAGACTCTTTGGTTCGTATGGAAAGACATGTTTGAATTCAAATATCTCTGAAGCATTCAGCTTTGTTTGATGGTTCACAGTTATAGTTACTGTTAAGTAAAATAATTTATTGTTTTTTAGAAGAATGAGACATCACACCAGACTATTCTAGAAATGGAAGAAGAGGTTCATGAAACTCAAGCTAAACTGAGCAAAAGCCTGTCTTCTCCAGTCTTTAAATTTCCAAATACTGATGTTTTAAGGTAAGAAAAAATTAATAGCTAGAAATCATGTTTCTAATATATTTCTTTTTAAAACATGTAGTTATGATTAATTGCAACTTATTGATTTTCACAAATCACAGAGATTTGTAATGTAGAACAAGCAACAATTTTCCACATCGTAAGTGTTGCAACTCAAATTAGACTGTGTTGAAACATAGGGAAATACTGAAATGAACAGATTTTAAATGCTGACATTCGACCACTAGTAGAAAAACAAATCTTAATATATTTTTCTAAAATAATGAAAGTTGGTCCCACTTTTATTTTGTTATTTTCAGCATAGCCCATGTAGTTTATTCAAGGACTTTTGACATTTGGTTTGTTCTGCACCAATGCAAGAGAGAGAAAAAAGGATACTCCTAACTGATAGTCAAATATTGCATTCCGCTGATTATATTTGCATATTGTCTTGTGATATTTCAAAGATGTTAAAAATTCACAATTTATTTAATTGAACTCTGGAACTTCCTCTTTTTCAATTGATACCTTATTGCTGGAAGACCTGTAGTGAGCCCTCTTTTGTTCACTGAACTTAATATTTGTATTCGATGTTGTTAACCCATGAATGTTGATATACTTCCGTAAATATTTTGAAATTATAATTATGTTCGCCTGTTCAAAAACAGAATCTGCTCTTGATATTTTTTGACTTCCAGACAACTTAACTGCTAACCATTCATAAGTTGGGCTTTTTACAAGTAACTGTTTGTAAACGTCATGAACATTTTATAGAAAATTATTTTTTATAATCATTTTCAAACTAGCAATTACAATTATTATGTTATATTAACAAAAAATTTTTTTTATTAAGAAAATATTTATATATTAATGAATTATTTGAAGTTAGTAAACTTTACTTATCTTGTTATATACATAGTCCGAATATCATTCATTCAACTGTCCGTCGTGAAGAAGATTCTGACGGTTCTACTCGCAGTAGTGATACGCCTGACATAATAGCTGGTACTGAACAGAAGGATTCCCGATTCAGACCGGACATTGACAAGTCCCGTTTTAACACAGCTGATAGCTTTATACTACCATCTCCACCAGCGACACCTATTGACACCGATGTGCCTTTTGAAGATCTTCCTCCACCCCCACCAGAAGTATTGGAAGACCAGTCGCACATATCAGATACAGCGCTTCCTCTGCCACCACGAGAAAATGCAATAAACCAACTGAACATTCTGGGCTCAGAATGTAAACCATCCACAGAAAAATTTGTGGAACAGTCGAATAACAAACTACAAAGGTATGTTTTTTTGGTTTTTTTTCATTGTACTTAACAATTGTTAGTTTGCTTTCATGTCAAATATTCTCTGGCTGTGAGAATTATTTTTCTCTCAATGAAAGGTAATGGCAGAAAATTTGAACACTCATATTGGTAAAGACAGTTGTCATTAATTTCATTCATTTTTTTTAAATTTACGTTTAAATTTGACACTCATTATATTGGTAATGACAGTTGTCTTTAATTCATTCATTTTTTTTTTATTTACGTTTATGTTTATTTATGTTTTCATTTATTTCTTTTTAATTCCAAGATCCTCCAACATGTAGTTTCCAAACCTAAATTGACGAATTTCAATGATGGTGAGATGGACTCACGAAAATGTCTTTTATGTTTTTTGTTTTTTTTTTAATAAAGTAGAGGTCACAGCATAAACTAACCTTAAGAAACCAACACTTCCAGAAACTATGTAAGGGGTCATCCATTATTTTAAACAAGGGCAGATCGAGAGATGGTCATAAAGGGGGCCGATCGAGATAATACTACCCTGCTAAATTTTTGTGTTCTAGGCGAAAAGAAAATAACCTCTGAGACATTTTGGTGTTCACTTTTTTCTTTTTCTTTCTTCCTTTCTTTTTTTTTTCTTTTTTTTTAAAAACTTTTATAAGGGGAGGCTGGGGCTAGCTCAGCCCCCACTAAATCCGCCGCTGTCAATTTAGTATTTATTTGCTACAAGATCCAACTTTCATGGCCCATAATTTCTCTTCTTTTTTTCTTTTTTTTAAAAACTTTTATAAGGGAAGGCTGGGGCTAGCTCAGCCCCCACTAAATCCGCCGCTGTCAATTTAGTATTTATTTGCTACAAGATCCAACTTTCATGGCCCATAATTTCTCTTCTTTAAGTGGCAATCACCCATCATTGGGTAAGAGTGAAAATGCTATATAAAACTTTTGTATTTAATGAGCAGGATGCAAATACAATAAATATTCATATTATCCATTAGTTTGCCTATAGGGGAAATATGTCATCAAATTGTTTTGTGGTTAGGATTTCATGAAGGAAGTTAGCTCCTTGGATATAATTTCCCTATTAGTTCTTATAAATATTAAATCTTCCTGTATTGGTTTGGTAGTTATTTTATGAAAACTTGATCTAAATGTTTGTGCAATAGGAACCATTATAATCATATGTGCATTCCAAGGAAAAAAGGGGAAAAAAACATACAGTACGAAAACTCATTGATTAAATCAAAGTCATTAAACAATACTCAGTACACATGTTGTTCTTGAATAAAGTACATTAATGATAAGTCACAAGGCAGGCCGAATTTGGCTGTAAATAAGCTTTGTGAAAACTTTAAGAACTGCTTGTCAGAATCAAAAAGTAATAAAATATGCACAGTATAATCGTTCTCCCTCTGCTAAGGCTTAAATTTACATATTTTTTCCACAGTCTCTTAAAATAATTTTTACAGAATTTGTGTGATGTTGAGCTTGTAAATAAGCTTGTACTAGACATTTGCATTAGTTATATTAAGTTAAAGCATACACCTACCTTACAGCTAACTGTACAGCTTTTTCAACAGTGTAACCCTCGTATGCGCGGAATACAGACTTTAAAAGATGATGATGACGATGGTGATCCCTGTTCTTAAATAGTATCGCTGTGGAAAGTAAAACTTAAAAAAACGCTAGGCCTTCACAGAAGTTTTAAATTTTCATCTGTCAACATCCCTGCAATTTAGATTTCATTATCACTTCGATGTTTCTAATTTGCTCATTTTCTGTTTCTATTGATCAATACTTATTGTGTAAAAGAAAAATAATAATAAAGATTAGGAGCATAAATGTGTTTTAATAAATTAATATTTGTGCTTTATATAAAAGTATGAAATTGCTTCACATTACCCTGGCCTTTGGAGGCATTGACATATGTACAAATAAATGTACATTTATTTTCAAGACATAATAGTGAAAAAAGACAAGTGGACAGGTAGAACATGCGAGAGCCAGTTTGCACCTTCATCTCCCTCGGTAGAAATATATCTTTCATAATGCCAATTAGCAGCTTCATTATGAGAATTGTTTTGGCCGGAAATGGATGTTTTATTTGGTACTTGAATGTAATAGCCAGGAAGCACCGGAAAGCAAGCGTTGACACGCAAGAGCTGTGTGCAAACCAAATGATAGAACATAAGCCATTAATATATCCTCTGTTGTCTTTAATAGGTTCATTGTTTCATTTTCTACCCATTGTTTTCAGATTCAACATGATTTTTGATACTGTTCAAAAATAAAAATGGAAATTCCCACACAAAATAATTAGGAACCCAGGGATAGAATTGGCTGGGAAAATATATATACAATGGCCAAGCAAGTGAAGGTAGAATATGAGCACTACTTCATGTTTTTTAATTTAAAGATGCTTTCCCGCTATACTCTTTTGGTCTACATTAGAAACTGCCATACTCCCAACCCCCACTCCATCCTCTATTATCCCCTCCCATTGAAAAACAGCTTTGGTTCATCCAGTTGTCCAAATCCTGGTGCCGGCCCCATCTCGGGTTACATTTTGTTAGTCTGTGGAATGAGGAATCGTATAGGATAATAATAATGTAGTGAAAACAAAGAACCTTAAATTATTTCTAGTGTAGCTTTACTTCCTTAAAGCATAGAAAGTAAGAATTAACAAATTGATATACTGTACTGCTTTATTCTGTTGTTTAGCAGTTTAAATGTTTAATCATATTTGTGGGCCAGAGTCACATTGTTTAAATTTTATATGGATAAATTATTGATTGATTGATTGATTGAAAGATTGATTGAGTTTATTCAGTGAAAATAATATACACAATTAATTAAAAAAAAGCATAGTATAAAAAATTACTCGGATGAAGCACATAAAAGCACACAAGGCACTTATTTCCAATGTGGTCCTTAAAAAATTACTACATTTTATTTGAGACATTTTCTTTATCATAGTAATAAATCAGAAATTTTTACTGCGCCAATTCAAAAATTATCAAAGGTCCCAAGTGAAAAATAATCCATTCTAAAAAGTTTTAAGATTTCTCTTGAATGAACTGTAACGGAAATGGGTCATGTGCACACAGAATATTTTGAACCTTAAATTGGCCCAAAAAAACAAAAAAAACAAAAAAAAAAACTACTGAGCCTGGACAAAATTGTACTGGTTCTTATAAAAAAAAAAAGTATAGTGGTTTGTAAAATTGTGAATACCAATGTCAAACAACTATTTTAGGGGTACCATATAATTTAACATAATAATGATCTTAATAATAAACAATATTATAAATAACAACAGTTCAAATACTGTAGTGACACTTAGATGTAAAAATGGAACCTTGAGTGCATACTCATAATGCCTTCAAAATGGTATTATTCCCAGTCTCAATCATGCATAGAAACAAAGAAATTCTTTTGCACCAGCATATAAAAAAATCTGATTCTTATCTGCAATAGTTTTTTTTTATACATAAGTGAAAGGGGAGATTATTGGTTCAATGTTTGCTATGGTAATCACCCCTAAATCAGAAATGGTTGAGTTCTCTGTGTAAACTTGTACTGTTCGTAGGCTCATTGTAGCCAGGGGCCTCTGTCAAGATACATGTGAAAGTATTTACAAAATATTTATTCAATTTCCTTATCAGGACTCAGTAAGTATGTGCTATTTAAAATCAAACTATTTCATGCATTCTGTGGCAATACTTTGTTTCACCCAAAATTGTTTTATTTTTTTATGATCTGTGTCCTGGGCTGTCTCTGCTTAACATTTATAGATCTTGAACATAAACTTTAGTATAAATGAAAACTTGTAATTGAAACTTGCATCACAGTCTGCATTTTTAGCACAGTTATATATTTTAAAGGTAAGCATGGAGATATTGTGGTATACATGTAAATGCGGATGCTTTTAGTGCTATTTGTGTTGAAATTTAAATTCAAATATTTGGATTGCTTACTTATGTGTAGTTATTACCTGAAATTGCGATTAAAAATTAAGAGAAACTATTTTTCTGGCAACGAACAGACTCATAATTATTTGAAATCATCTGTGAGTAATGAGCCAGTGACCCCTCACTTGGGGCCTCAGAGTTAGTTATGAGCCAGCGAGCCTTCCACTTGGGGCTCAGAGTAAGTTATGAGCCAGTGAGCCCTCCACTTGGGGCCTCAGAGTTAGTTATGGGCCAGCGAGCCCTCCACTAGGGGCTTAGAGTAAGTTATGAGAGAGTGAGCCCTCCACTTCGGGCCTCAGAGTTAGTTATGAGCCAGTGAGCCTTCCACTCTCAAAATTGTATGACTTATTTATATATTTACTTATTTATATACAGCACCTATTTTCTGTGTTTTCCTTTATCATGTAAGCAGGGGCGGTGCTAGCAGGGGTTCCAGGAGGTAAAGGACTCCTGCCAAGGACCTCTGGATCCCCCGGTTAAACCCCCTGTCGGTGAACTTCCAGCAAGCAAATGAAATCTCGATTGCCAAAAATACAATTTAGGTATGCCTTAATAAGTTGTCAAATTTTCGGGATTAAAAACTGTTTAGTGCGAGCAGCGCTACAGTAATTTCATGCATTCTGTGGCAATACTTTGTTTCACCCAAAATTGTTTTATTTTTTTATGATCTGTGTCCTGGGCTGTCTCTGCTTAACATTTATAGATCTTGAACATAAACTTTAGTATAAATGAAAACTTGTAATTGAAACTTGCATCACAGTCTGCATTTTTAGCACAGTTATATATTTTAAAGGTAAGCATGGAGATATTGTGGTATACATGTAAATGCGGATGCTTTTAGTGCTATTTGTGTTGAAATTTAAATTCAAATATTTGGATTGCTTACTTATGTGTAGTTATTACCTGAAATTGCGATTAAAAATTAAGAGAAACTATTTTTCTGGCAACGAACAGACTCATAATTATTTGAAATCATCTGTGAGTAATGAGCCAGTGACCCCTCACTTGGGGCCTCAGAGTTAGTTATGAGCCAGCGAGCCTTCC